AAAAAACAATTCTGAAAACAATTGTCAAGTGGCGGCACAGTGATTGTCTGGTTCTCAAACTGGCCTCACAGTGCAGAGGTCCAGGGTTTGATTCCGGCTTTGGCCTTCCTGTGTGGGTTTTCTCCGGTTACTCTGGTTTCCACCTACATTCCAAAAAACATGCACCATAGGTCAATGGAAGACTCTAAATTGTCCCTAGGTGTGAGTGTGAGCGGAGATGGTTGTTTGTCTATGTGTGACCTGCGATTGGTTGGCAACCAGTTCACGGTGCACCCCGCCTACTGCCCGAAGATAGCTGGGATAGGCTCCAGCACGCCCATGAACCTCGTGAGGATAAGTGGCTCGGATAAGGGATGGATGGATGGAAAAATTACCAAATTTTCTCTTGTTGTAAAGTTAAACAAATACTTAATAACAAAGTGATGTAAAAATGTTGTGCCACTAATTCATATCTTTATCGTAAACATTAACAGACCAAAACAAAAACGTACTGTATTCTTTTCATTAATCGATTGACTAATTGGTTATTGGAGTTTTATTCTGTCAAACATCCGAATTGGGATTGGGACAAAAAAAAAAATCTGTCTCGGTTGGGCCATAGCATTGAACTTAAAAGTTAAATACAACTGAACTTGAGCTGTGATTCATTTGCATAGTACTAAAGGGCGCCCACGAACCACGGACTGTACTCATACCAGACTTTGACAATGACTGCTTTTGAGCAGGGCGGCACTATGAATGTCTGGTTAGCATGTCCGCCTCACAGTATCGAGGTCCAGGGTTTGATTCTGGCTTTCCTGTGTGGGGTTTGCATGTTCACTCCGTTCCTTCGTGTGTTTTCTTTGGGTACTCTGGTTTCTTCCCACATTCCAAAAACATGCACCATAGGTTAATGGAACACTCTAAATTGTCCTTAGGTGTGATGGTGCGTGTGAATGCTTGTTTGTCTTTGTCTGCCCTGTAATTGGCTGGCAACCAGTTCAGGGTGAACCCCGCCTACTGCCCAAAGATGGCTGGGATAGGCTCCAGCATGCCCTTATGAGGATAAGCGGTTCAGAAAATGGATGGATCGATGGATGCATGGATGCTGTCAAGCATATGTTTGCTGGAAATGAAAATCAATCCAAAGGTCCAGTGTGAGTGACATTTTCGTGTTGTTGCTGTTGGTGAGCTGAACTTGTTTGGCCTTTCTTTTTCTTTTGTAGGGAGGATCCGTGGCGTGCCGCCCGCATGATCAAAGGTTACATGCAGCAGCACAACATCCCACAGCGCGAGGTGGTGGACATCACAGGCCTCAACCAGTCGCACCTGTCGCAGCACCTGAACAAGGGCACGCCCATGAAGACCCAGAAGCGTGCCGCCCTCTACACCTGGTACGTGCGCAAGCAGCGGGAGATCCTCAGACGTAAGTCACCAGACAGACGGACAGA